TCTGCGACAGCGCTGATGTTGTGTACTACCAGACGTTTCTTTCTCTCTCTTTGTGGACCCCCTCATCTCCCGACAGTCCCCAAGGACCCCCAGAGGTCCCTGCACCTCTGATTGAGAATCATTACTGCAAAGCACATAAGAATGGTTGCAAACAATAAGAGACAGTCCAGTCGATCTTGTCCAGTTTTTGTTGCTGGAAGCTGATTGATCTGAGAACCTCAGCCAACCACTACTTAACAGTTTAAGGAAATCTTAACAGAAGTGTGTCGGGGGGGGGGGGCTTTGTGGCTACGTGCTCACTGGGCTGTTCGATCAAGTCGTGATGCCACTGGGCTTTACTGCCATCATCATCTTCACTGCCACGTGTGCGGTCAGACCCTGCATTGGAACTGCTGTTGCAGACACACCTCCCATCAACCGATCTGCACTGCCTGAATGAGCTCAAATTCTCCCCCATGGATCAGGGAGCGGCACTGCTGTGTGAGAGGCTAGGGGCACTTTTGTCTCATTAACAGTCTCGTTAGTACCCTGTCACAGCACTGCACTCCGTTACCCACCATTAAGGAAGAGCTGATTTTTGTACTGGGATGTTGATTGCCATAACTTACAACAGAAGCCAAATAAGATATGATTGTGCAACGGGGATCATGCGCCAACAAAGTATTGAAAGTTTGCTTTTTTTTCTTTTTTGGTTCCGTTTGATTAGAGCCAGTGCGTTTTTTCTCTCGATAGACTGAGACCGACCGGTTGTCCCCAGTTTGTGCTGAGCAGTGACACGATCATGACCGAGCTTGTTTAGCGCCACAAGAAAACCTTCCTGTCTGCCCCCCTGTTTTCCAAAAGCAACTGCATCCTGCAAGATGTGAATTCTGAGAAAGATCTTGTTGGAACAGAGAAACCGCAAAATTAAATGAGGAGAGGCCTACAGGTTTTGTAAAATTACCTGCAGTTTTCTTTAAAAAGTGAAGAATGCTGTGCAGTGCAAAAAGCTTTGAAAGTCATCCTTTCATGAAGTCTAATCATTTGTTTCTAAACCTGGCAGCCCATTACAGCCAGTCAAGAGCAATCATTCACTTCTGCTGTGCTTCTGCCTGTTTTTTCTGCACGCCAACATTGATTAGGACAGAATGTGATGCTCAGATTCTCATCGTTTTGGATGTGGAAGTCGTCCATTTGAAAGGCTGACATTTAAAACCGCATTTAAATTAAGCTGGGATTTCAAACAGATACGAATATTGTCTCTCGAAAGGTTCACAGAAGCAATGCATCGTGTGGGAACATTTGAAATTGTACTACTGGTGCATACGCATTAGGATAATACTTACTGAGTGCGTTCTAATTAATTTGTGAAAGTAGAAACTTTGCATATGTTTTCCGCTTAATAGCATCTGTTTTAAAGGTAGCACACGAGTGTGCTTCTAAATCCTGAGCTGACGGTGAGCTCCCAAAAGGCAGCGGAAGATTACAGACGTCAACACGCAGAAGAGATTCATGGGCGAGATGGGTGATACAGTGTAATAATTCTGAAATACAGTCGCTGTAAATCCTGGCCTGATCTCCTCTCTGCAGCCAGAGGAGGCGTGATTAGGCAGACAGGTTTGCCAGGGTGTGTGGATTCCTCAAGGGGATGGACCACTCATTCAAGCCGAGATGACAGGACTAGTGCCCAGCCGTGAGGCTCGGTCTTGTGGTATTCCCAGGGCCCTTAAGAGACCCTTTTGGGGATTTTTCCTGAACTGTTTTTTCTTGTTTCTTAGGCTTAGGTGTGTCAGGCTTGACAGTTCCTCAGACTCCATTCGTCTAAGGTGCCGACTTTGCTTTAGAACACAAGAACAGGTAGAAACGTGAGGAGACCATTCAGTTCATCTGGCCATTCGGTCATTAGTAGCTAATTGATCCAGGGATCTCATCCAGCAGTTGGCTGTCGGCTTCTTTACACCCGAAGAAGGCTCCACAACCGAAACGTTGTGTTTTCTTTCTTCTCTTTTCAGCATGGAATAAACCTATAACTTGTTCCTCGGCTTCAAACAGCATGGCTGGATAGCTTGTTCCACACTCCTACCACTCTTTGGGTAAAGACGTGCCACTTGTTCCTGGTTTTAAATGCACCAGAAATGCTTGAGTGTGTGATCTGGGTGGCTGGCATTAGCCCATGACAGCGTGGCCCACTTTGTTTCTGTCCTGGAAGAGGGGTGCACACCTGTTATTGTAATTATTGTGCTCATTTAAGTTCTGAAGAGAAGTCCCTTCCCTGCAGCACACTGAATACTGTGAGGAGAATTTGCTGCCATACTGTGGAGTTATTTGTGGATTTTCAAACGATCCTCTTATAAGAGAACTGTGCTGTGTTTGAAAATCAGTACCAAAATAAATCCGTTGGGCCACAAACTTCAACTGTAAACAAGTTGACTTGCTTCGTTTCTTTCTTTTTTTCACTGCTTTTCAAATATCACCGCGCCCCTCATTGGCATCTAGGTTAGACATTTTTGACGCATCTAGAAATGGTATTTGAAAAGAAACAATTAATTGCTCTCTGTGGTGTAGTGTCAGTTGCAGGAATTCAATGTACAGACAATATTGTCAGGACTGGAGAGAGTCTGCTGTTTTTACATCTCCCTGAAACAGGTTTCAACAGATTTCGAGCGACTAAGCAGACGGCAGCTCTGGCTCTCACCCACAGGAGCATGTGTGGTGAAGTATAGCAGTGTGAGCCCTCTCGGTGCTTTTACCTCTGCAACACCGTAGTTTTACCGTAGTGGACGGTGGTAAAAACAAAAGAGAGCACAGTGAAATCATGCACAAGAGCGATGAAGCGTGGAGAGAAACAGTAAAGCCTGATACCATAGGCAAGCAAAGGAAAACCATGGGAAAGGCATAGGGAAAAACTGGGAAACATGGGAAAAGGCATTGGAAAAGATGGGAAGCCCATGGATCAGCATGGGGAAAGTGCCAAACTACAATACAGCTTGCATCGTTCAGGTGCCATGAGACTGTAGAAATATCCGTTGTTCCTGTCGTGACAGAAGAAACCATCAATCCTGGAGAGATTCACTGTGGTTTGTGTGTAAAAACAAATAAATTGGTAATTAAGAACCTGCTAGACTGACGATGAAAAAACTGCCTCATTGGTCACTGGCTGAGACTTGCAAAGGGAGTGTGACACCATTTTAAAATCCGTGAGCACTACGGCGCATGGCCCTGAGACTGGGAAGAAGCCCTTTGGAGACTGAATCATGAGGCAGAAAGCAATTATGTTCTGTTTGAGGAATAGTGAGTACAACAGTGCCCCCTACTGGAGCAATTATACCCTGCAGCTTGTGAATTACAGTGCAGTGACCATCTGGTCTGGGAGTGTTAAGTGGAAGGTCCACTGGCTACAGTACGAGTTATTAATGGCAGTAAAGCACTAGTGAGCGTACCCATTGTAACATAGTGACAGCCTTCAGACTCACACAGGGCATGCTGCCTATCGTTCAGTGAACTGATGAGTCCGTTTTCCTCTTGTCTCAGAGGAGCACAGGGGCAACCAGCTCGCAACGGCGATCAATACTCTCCAATCAAACCACCTGGTCAGATTGCTTTTGTTTCTGCCAGTGCTCAGCGTGTGCATCCATTGCCCATGCTGCTGAGTCAGGGGAGGCAGGGCTCTGCTCAGGCAGTCTCTGTCTTGCCCTGCTTGCAGAAAGCTCAGCAGGGGGACAGAGCCACCTTCTTTGACAATGTAGTGCAGAGCTGAACTGGGAGAGAGAGGTCTGGGAATGATACGCCAGAGCCCATAATTGTGGAAATGTACAGTAAATGACATATACTTTCAAAAACGGAAGCCTGCACGTGCTCAGGTTTCAGCGTCATTATATTCAGCCTGGAAGACCCAGAGGGGGTGCAGTTCTCTGGCCTGTCTTAGTGGGGCTGTGAAAAGAAAGGGCTGCGTGTTAGAAACTGGATCAGTAAGGCAGCTGCTGTCTGTATCCGACAGAGGAGGAAAAGTCTTGTGTGACGCTCGTGAGAGACCGGCGCGTGTCTGGGCTCTCCCACCGGGTGGTGGTGGTGGGGGGGGGGGTTTGAGTTTGTGGCTGTCCGTGCCAGGCAGGCGGGCGTGCGTTTCTCCGCGGGGCAGCTGAGGTCCCAACACCTCCCGCTCCAGGGCTCTCCTCCTGGGAGAACCGCGGGAATTCAGGCTGGGATGGGGGAGCAGGGAAGGAGAGCACCGAGACAGCAGGGAGATTCAAACCAGATGCAAACTCGGGGGGGTCAGCCGTTCGTAGGCATGCAAGAGGAGCTGCAGGGCAGTAACACAGCAGAGCGGGCTGATCTTTCTGCCAAACTGCAGACTGAAACAATAAACCGCAGAAATGTAGCCGCTGAAGTTGTTACTGGGACGACCGAAGGATTAGGAACATTTGAATTTGCCGTGCAAATACGGCCTTTTAAACTTTAATGAAGGAATGTACAAATTGCAGCCTGTGTTCCCGGATTTAACTTTTGCATATTTTTCCCAGGAAGGCATTTGCATCCATGCAAACGAACGCCTCTGCGTTTCAGGCTTTCTCTGCGCTGAACACCCTGTCTGCTGGGACAGGACAAGCCGTCTGCCTCACGAGCTCGGGAGCAGGCTAGGCCAAGGGGACGGCGCTTTTCTTCCCTGACGGTGCCGGTGGTCCGGCATGCCCTGACAACGAGCAGGCTTTCAAAACTGGGGGGCGCCGCCTCCTTATGGCACTTCGGAGGTGGAGGGGCGATGGGGGACCCCAAGTAATCCCTGGCCGTGGAGAATCATGGGTGGGGGGGTTTCCACGTCACTAGGTCATCACTTCTCATTCTGGTGGTGTCGGAAGGTTCTGGAAGCTTCTGTTCCACGACCCGCCCTGGGAATCTATAGAAATACAAACGCAGGCCTGACGAGGGCCTGGCCCCTCGCTTGGCGTGTCAGGTGAGGAAAGGCGCCCCAGCTCCCGGGCAGGAGTTGCCGAGTTGTAACGGGCGCTGTGTGTTCTCTGCAGTGTGCGGCTGTGACCTGGCCAGATCGGGCTTCTTCCAGAAGAATGGGGAGTACATCTGCACGGCGGACTACCAGCGGCTGTACGGGACCAAGTGCGACAGCTGCGGCGACTTCATCACGGGGGAGGTGGTGTCCGCGCTGGGGCGCACCTATCACCCCAAGTGCTTCGTCTGCAGCGTCTGCAGGTAAGCACTCACAAAGGGAGACACGGCGCTCTTCTCTGGGCTGATCCCAAAGATACTGCTGCTCCAGGATCAGGGCCAGAGAAGAGCAACCAGGCATGCTCCTGGATTTTCTGGAAAGTCCTACACTGAGGGGCTGAAGGAACTGAGTCTCTTCAGTCTTGAACAGAGAAGACTACCAGGGAAGCTCATGACTATTTTTCACAATCCTCCAACCTTTACAATCAATAGTGAAACAGGACCCAGAGGGCACAAGTGGAAACTAAGGGCATTTAACGCAGAGAGCGGGAGGCATGTCTGTACACAGAAAGTGGTGGGAGTGTGGAACAAGCCATGTGGTTGAAGTCGATACCTCTTTTTTCTTTGAGAAGCAGCTGGGTGAGATCCTGGGATCCACTACCCAACCAAAGTTCAAATGGGCTGGATGACCTCCTCTTTCCTTTAACTGCTCTTATGGACTTGCATGAGGAGCCACACTTGTGATCATCTGCATTGTGTAACTCAGAAACCAGTCACATTAGTCACTTTACGGGGCAATAAGAAATGAGCAGACACCATTGGGCCCATCTTGTGTCTTGGTTGCTGTTATTATCTGTTATGTTATATTATACAGCATGTGACTCCCTTACGGTACATTCTGAATAATCCAAGAGTTCCTTTCATATCTTCTTAGCTTCAATGTGACAAGAAAGTTAAAGACTCTGCTATGCGGCTCATGTTTTCTGTTTAGATCCTTCTAAACTTGATTTTAGTACTTGTGTCTCCAGGTTCTTGTATTGTTAGTAATCGTAAGAAAAATCTGCTGATTTTGAGGAACCAAATCGAGTCTTTATGTGGTCTTTTCTGTGATTCTGTGTTAATGTACAAACCGTATGTTGTAGATTAACAGTAACAATAAAACACATGCAGCTGCAGGCTCATATAATGTTATATATAAAATGCCAATAAAGTATCTTAAATACATCAAATGCCCATACAAGCCTAAACCCTATTAAACAGTATAAAGAATACTGTCAGCTGGCTCACAATGCTAGAGCCCTGGGTTAAAGTCCTGAGGTGCTATCTGTGTGGAGCTTGTATGTTCTCCTTGCGTTTGCCTGGGTTTTCTCCAGGCGCTCTGGTTTCCTCCTCCTGTCCAAAGACATAGTGGTAGGTTAATTGGCTTCTGGGAAAATTGGTTCTGGGGTGCGTGTGTGCGTGTTTTTGTCCGTGTGTGCCCTGTGGCGGACTGGCGTTCTGTCTATCCTGTGTATAACGTGAATAGATGTGTCCTGTCTTGAGCCCGTTGCTTGCTGGGATAGACTTCGGCTCCCCGGTGATCCTGTACTGGATAAAGTGCTTAAAAGATGGATGGATGGAACAAAAGACAGTGAAGTGAGGGGCGCAGAGGTGAGCTGTAGCACAAGTGTTACCCCTGAAAAATTACTCCTCTCAGTTCTCGGTAGAGCCAGCCTAGGGGAGGATCGACACAAATAGCACAGGCTGAGCAGATGCCGGGGAGTCTTGCATATTTCATGATCATTTTTTTTTGGTAATGAACCAAAGTTAAATTGCGTAACAGGCCGTTACACAATATTCCCCCTGCAGGGGTGACTTGGGTATGATAGGATGGGAAATGCAGGTTTGATCTGTTCAGCCTTCAGCCCTGCTTTGTGGAAATTGAACCACAAGCCAGTGGTTGAGCCACCGAATGTTTGTGGGATTTACCTTTGCGTCCTTTTATTTAGCGAGCATTTAAAAAATGTCCTTCTTCCGAGCTCTCTGCTGTGCATTTCCTTCCCAATACTGTTTCTAAATCCTGAAGAGAAGACCAACCATGGCGAATCTGTGCTACTGTAGTATTTCACAAGGGGCTACAGCCTCTCTAATTCATTGAAAAAGAAAGTCCCATTCCAGAGGAGGAGGCTGTTTCTGCACATTTGTCAGGTCCTCTATGGCTACTGCCTTGGAGCTTTTGGGTCCTGGGTTTTATTCCAGCCTCGGGAATCTTCTGCATGGAGTTTGCATGTTTACTTTACCCCTTGTCTGTGTAGTTTTTCTCCAGGTGCTTCATTTTCCTCTCCTGAAGAAAATTATGGTTTCGCTAATTAGTGAGTGTGTATTGTGTGTGTGTGAGTGTGAAAGGGTGTGAGTGTGAATGAGTGTGAGAGGGTGTGAGTGAGACTGGGAGAGTGTGTGAGTGTATGAGAACGTGGGAGAGTGAGAGTGTCTATTGGAGAGTGAGAGGGTGTACTGTATGTTTGAGTGTGAAAGGGTGTGGGTGAGAGTCTATGTGTGAGTGAGAGATAGTGAGAGTGTTTACTGTATGTGTGAGTGTTAGTGTGAATCTGAGAGAGTGAGAGTGTGTATGTGTGAAGGTGTGTGAGAGTGAGAGTGTGTGTGAGTCTGTGTGAGAGTGTGTATGTGAGAGTGTGTATGTGTAAGTGTGATTGAGAGTGAGA